GAAAAAAAATAGGGCTTATAACAAAATTTTTCAACAGACCCTTAGCTAGAGCAGCACTAGCGGGCGCAGCTATAATTACAGCAAAGCTACATAATGCGTCTGAACTAGCTTAGCCCTTTCCCTGCAAGCAGGGAAGCTGCCACATCAGTAACTCCGTTGCTAGGGCAACTGCTTACTTTCCATATCAACTGCAAACTCGTTGCTATGGAGACACATATACAAGAAAAATTCCTCTCTATAGCCAAGGACCAGATGGTAGCGAAGTCAGGGAAGTCATGGGCTGACGGGCTGTACTAAATGGGACACACACTAGAGGACATTTAGATCTGTATATTCACAATAGGATTAATCCGAATGACTGAATTCACAGGTCCGGCATATAAAGCAAGCCAGGGAACTCCTCATCTACTCCTCATCATGTGATACTTCACACTCTGGCCAACTATTATTAAACTGCTGAGCTCAATGCAGAGGTTTGTACAATCAAGGGTTCAGTATTTTCCCTTCTTCAGCCTAGCTCTCTGCCTCAATCCAGGAGATCAGCCTCATCGCAAATTTATATGAACAGTCACCATTGGCTTGCCAGGTAAGCCTGACGGCATTGCAGCTGAAGTGGGACAGCAGCAATGCATAAGCAAATCCAAGGAGAGAAATCTCTTTTCCCGCCATTCCACACCAGACCTAAAAGCACCAGGACAGGGCAAGTCAAAAATTGAAGTGATACAGTCTGTAAGGTTTTTTTTTCCCCTCTCTGACAAGGATCTCAGATCAGGAAATGCAAGCATTCATATGCAGGCAGAAAAAGCTGCATACTATTGAATACATATTTAGCCCCGTGAATATAAATTAGTGGAACCCAAGATTGAGGAAACTACTATGCAGAGGGAATTCAAAAAAGAATTAAGTGTTCAGCAGAACTTTTTTTAGAAAAACGATTACTGAAAGGCTACACAAACACTGGAAAGCACAACTATGAGTGGAAAAGCTTCTAGCTTTTCACAATGTGTCAACGCACATCAACCAGCAAATGCCTGCAATTCCCAACACTGATTAACTCCTTCTCCCAGTACTGTACATGTTTCAGAGCCTATCTTGTTAGCATTTTATAACACACCATTTACTAAATGCTTTTTTTCCCACATTAAAAGAGTAACACAGGCAGACTCCATACCTGCAATTTGCAGAATCTGGCTGCAAAAGGTAAGAAGTGGCATAAAACAATTCTTTATAGAGGAAAGTCCCCTGCTTCCCCTGACCCAGGCCCCAGCCCAAAACCCTTTAGATGGACACCTTCCTTCTGAAGAGCAGAGATGCTGGCTGCAAGGCACCCAAACCAACCCTGAGTGTGCATGTGCCCACACACGAAGGTATTGTCAAAGCCAGCAGTTGAAGTTTACTGCTTTCCAAGTCCAAAATTAGCTCTCAAGCACCTGATTCAGCAATTCTGACCAAGCGCCAATTCTGTGCTCGGGACTCTGTCTGCCCCATCCCTTGGCCAGCACACCAGAAAAACCCAGCAGGGGATTTAAATGACCTGCCTTGATGCATTTTACATTTGAGATTCTCATTTCATTCACCTTAACGCTGGCTACCTGCAGTTATTAGCCTCCCCAGGAGATGGAAGAAATTCTTTCTCATAACCTGGTATTTTCCAGGAATGAATAAAACCTCACCTCATTATTCATATAGGTAAGGCCTCCCACCACACCTCGTTGTCTAGCTATGTAACCATGGCTCTAATCACGAATTCGAGACGTGGGTGACTAGTCATGCAAGTGCTCTGCCACTTCCCTGTGGCAAAGCAGCGCATCGTGGCACTGTTCATACAAGCTCAGCAGACTGCCGGAGATTTGACAGATAGGCATGAAGACAAGTTCCTCATAGGAAGGAAGCTGTAATCTAAACAAGTCAACTTGTAAACGGAGGAAGAGGGATAGAACAAAACACAAATGGCAATGTTAAACACATGCCTTGCCAGTTACAAATATTTTGGGGTTTTTTTAAATGTACTGTGTAAAGGTTTCTTATGGTCTGGGACAGGATCATCAAAGTCTGGTGTGGCACCTGTTATTATAGACTCACTTCCAAACAAGAATTTAAGAGTCTGGTTTACACAAAACAAGATCCAGTCCAGGAACAGGTTTTTTAATCTTGTACACAAACGTTCACAGCAATTAATTTATAAAAATACCACCATACAGTCTGTGATCACCAATATGTGGACAGTGGATTCCAGGGAATTAGATTTAAAAAATAAAAAAGTCAATAGTTTAAAAAAGGAAAGCTCAAGATAAAAGAAAGTTAGTTAATCTAAAATGAAAAGTTGCTAGTTTAGGGTAACGTATGATTCTTTCTCTAGAATTTACTTGAGCTCCTATTCCACAGCATTTAAAGTTAAATCACACGCAAAATAGGGAGAACAGCACCACCAACAGAAGTCTAGTTTCAGGGTAACCAGTTACAAGACAATCACTGCATTTACTTCACTGAAATACAAAAGTTGAGCGCGTCTATTGTTTCTGCCAGGACAAAGTGTCTGCTTTCTGATCTTCAGCCAATTTGAGAGACAGACAGTCATTGATGTGATTTTACCCACTATGTATTTCACTAACCTGTGAGAAAGCCTCAGAAATTATTCTCCAAGCTGGTATTTTTATCAGTATACTTGTACTTTGCCAAAGATTCATCCAGACCACTGCTTCTGGAAACAGTCCCCTTCAGAAGCTGATACCCGCCCCCAGGCAGACTGACACGGTAGAAGGCTATGCGAAGGACTGCCTCCACCGCACGGCTTGCTTCCCCGTTCCTCACACACAGCCTCCTCCTGCAGACACCGCTGAGGATTCAGCAATGAAACCAGCCGACAACAACAGAGATATGAAAGCAAAAATGTGCTCCCCAGGCTTCTGTCACAACACCGCTTGCAGAAGCTACATGAGCCCAGGGAGAAAACGACTGAAGTTTTGGTGAATGGTAACTTTCACCTTTGATGCCAAACCTATCTCCTTTCCTTGAAGAGCTGCTCAAAAACCTGCTTGAAATGGAATGAAGCTTCATCATCAAAATTCAGAACTACTTCTGTTTGTTTAAGAGAAAGAAGGGTTTTTTTCAGATTACAACACAGACCACGGAAAAAGCAATGGACTCTTACATACCCTTTCACTATACATTTGTATAAGGCAAGAACAGCAAGCAGCCTATTTATAACATGATTACATTCATCTAGTATAGCTGGAAACCATTACCACAGCATGATAACTAAAAACAGTATTTAACCACTATGCGTGAAGACACCAGCTGGGGGGAAAAAAAAACACACACACCCCCCAACTACTTTCTTACAGATGTCTAGACAATGAATTTAATAAAATCAGAATGAGCCATGCTTAAGAAATGTTGGCTCTCCAAATTTAATGGACTACATTACCAGGGACAGCGTTGCATATTCTGCATTTCACTGTTACAGACACCTTCTGGGATTAGCAGGTGAACATTTTCAGAGCCAGACAGGTTTCCATAGTTCCAAACTTACCTGACTTCTGTCTTTGTCCACTTTCTTAAAACACTTATTCAAGGATAGATTATGTCTCACAGAATTTTTCCATCCAGTGGGTGCATTTGCAAAATATGGAAAGTGTTCCAAGATCCAGTTGTATATATCCTTAACAGGCAGTCTTTTGGTTGGCGAGTCCTCTATGGCCATAAATATGAGGCAGCTAAAGGAATAAGGAGGTTTGCAGTTGGGGTTCTGCTTGGCATCGTAGGGCATGTCAGAGTGGGCTGGAGACGGCGGCGTGTCATCACCGATGTCCTGAACGGGGCTAACACTCCTTAACACCGAGTCCCCAAAGCTTTTCAGCAAGTTCTTACTCTCGTGCAACCAGTTCAAATTAGTAAGCTCTTCATCTTCCATGGCCCCTTTATCTAATCTGATGGCAGGCAAAGAGAAATCTAGGTCCTCGTCATCGTGAAGTGCCTTTGAGAAATCACTATCTTGGTAACGTTGGCTCAATCCGCTGGGAACGCTAATTCCTGAGCCCTCTGGCTTCTTACTGGGAGGCATGACTGGACCCATTTAGACAGCGACTCCTGGGAGGGCAAATCCAAAGGAAGGGGAGAAAGAAACAGAGAGAAAGGTTAGCTCATGAAAAGACACTGCATAATGTTTTGACAGCTTTTGCCTAACTGCTCGCTCGGCCTTCTGCCACCTGTATTAAAAATGACAAACTCACATAAACACTCATTCACAACTTTTGAGTGAAATAATCTAAAGTCAGGACAAGGGAAGAAATTTCAGTCAATGGAATTAAGAAGAAAGTCCTGATGCACCTCAGTTCTGCGTGTACGTGAAGCCCTGCACAGGAAATCCTGAAGACGTGTCCCTTTAGTGATGAATATGTGTAACAAATCATTGAATACTCCAATTGTATTGCTTTAATAAGCATGTACACTAAAAAAAAAAAAAAAAATAGAGGGGCTTAGGGACAGTTGCTTCAGATTAAGTTCAGCTGTTTCACTTTTGAGGACAATACAACAGTGCCATGATTAAAGTCACTCTGGCTAAAGGCCGAGGCAGACAAGCACCCCATCTGACTACAGTCGCAGTTGCAACAAAACTCAGAAATGACAGCAGAACTTCAAAACCAGCAAGGGTGGGAGAAGGGAGAAGGGAGAAGGGAAATCAATGCACGGTAGCTTTGGGACCAGGGCCAAGACACAGGGAAACAAGTGTCAGAGGAATAAAGGACTTTAAAAATGCATGTAAACAGGGAAAATTTTAACATCAGCTGAACTGTATTTCAAACATCGTAGAAAACAGAGTCAGAAAGACTGCTGTGATGCTCAGCAGTGGCCCGGGAGACGTGGGATGAGCTGCAGAGGGTACTGCACCGGCAGGCCCCGGGGGGACACCTTCGAGCAGTAATGTTTGGGAGGACCCGAGCCCTGCAGAAGCTGGGCTCCTGCCCAGCTCAAGAGAAGCAGACAGGAGCCCAGCAATTCTGCTTCAGAAGCAGGAGACAGGCTCCCTTAGCTGCTCTATACAATAGAACTGCCAGGATTTAGGTCTGGAGATGTGAACAGCAGTGAAATAAAAATTGGAAAGAGTCAGTAACAGATTTAAAAAACATGAAACTTCCTGCACGAATGTTGAAGAAGAGCAAAACGATTCCCTGTATCTAAAACGTATCCTCAGCAGCTCCCTGAAGTCATGCAGTCACACACTCGATACTGTAAAGGAAGGGCAAAAAAACTATGGGTAGCAACAGAATGAACCACCTATCTACAGGGGAAAAAAGAGCAAGATAGCCATTCTGGGAAAGAGAAATGATGGACTTTATTTCAGCTGTTACAAAAGGGCAAAACTGGAAAAGGAAAGTTCCTCGGGTCTTTCTATAAACACTTTACACCAAAGGAGCCATTACTAAAAGAGAACCATACAGAACTTTTATGCACAGAAGCCCGTTGATACACGCTATCACCCAACAAGCTCAATGAACATGTGTGGTTTTACACAAGTATCTGGAAGAGGAAAAAACACCAAGGCAGATATAAACATCGGGAGGCCAAAGTTACGCAGGTCCCACTTCCTAGCTTTCAAAACAGCGTCCAACGCAGCCAGAAGGTAAACAGGAGCATCGCCGGTGCCCAGGGGCAGCGGCATCGCCCACCTACGCCGCACACTCAACTTTGACTCCAGATGGAAGTTACTTCCCATGAGCTTCTAAACAGGAAAATTATATGATGGCTGACAGCAAAGTAATTTAATTGCACTGTTGCTATGACAACACGCTGCTCTCTTTCTGTTTAATTTGCTTATTTGCCAGTACCCTCCCAAAGGGCCGTATCATACCATCCCTTTTTTTCTTTCTTTCTTTCCCCCCTCTCCCGGCAGCGGTCCTCACG